GTCTTTGTTTTCGTTGGCATTTAGTGTGGACTAGTATCTTTAGCTCTCAGTTGAAGGGGTTCCATACGTTCTATGGTCAGATGGGACCATTTATGATCATCTAGTCTGACCTCCTGTATTACACTGTTCAGAGTTTCCCTAAACTAATATCTAGAGCAGATCTTTTAACTAAAAACCCAATATTGATTTTTAAATTCAGCAGTGGAGAATTTACCACAATACTGGGTAAAACATTCTAGTGGTTAATTATTCTGACTGTTAAAAATTTGTTTATTTCCAGTCTGAATTTGTCTAGCTTCAACTTACATCCGTTGGGTTATGTTATCACTTTCTCAGGATTGGGATACCGGATCTTATCAAAAAGGACTTTCCCCAAGTGTTGGAGTTAAATCAATATTAAACTTAACACAAAGCAGAGATTTAAACAGCCTGAATAAATATAGTTTCTTAGGTTTCCTTTGCGTGCTTGTTTAATGCCATAATCCTGGTTATCCAGTTGTCAATAGTCATCTGGGAAAAACAAGAGGCAACAAATGAATTTTTAATGTGAGACGGGAGGAAGTTTTCAGGGCTCCTTGCCCCTTTTCCTCCTTTAACAGTGATGGATAAACACTCAGTTGTTTTTTTCCTTTGCTAGGCATCTTTAAGAACACTACCCTCCCAGTAGGTAGTTCTGTGATTGCAGTGTAGCTTCCTTGGCCTTCTCTTCTGCCAGTGCCCACCCTCCCAACTGCTCTACTTTTCTCATTATCCTTTCATGTTTAAACTAGAGCAGTCTGGGAATTTTCTGTCCAAGTCTTTCAGGGAAAATGTGGCTTCTCCAGGATTAAAATTTTCCACTGGAGGAATGTTAATTTTGTTGAAATGTTTCAATTTTATTTTGATTTTTCTGTGGTGGGAAATATTTCAGCTCTGTATGTAATCTCTGTGTCTGCCTAAGCCCTCACAGTGCCCCATGAGAGTCGGAGTTCACATACACCTTTTAATGGGCTGGGCTCTCTGTTTGCTATATATCACCAGTTTATAAAATTGTTAGATATTTCTAGCTCTGTCTTTAATTACTCTGACAGTCATATCAGATACTAGGAATCGCTATACTGGGTCAGGCCAGTGATCTGTCTAGCCCAGTATCCTGTCTTCTTACAGTGGCAAGTGCCAGGTACTTCAGAGGAACAAACAGAACAGGGAGATTATAGATTGTTTCATCTTGTCGTATAGTCCCAGCTTTTGTCAGCCAGAGGTGCCACAGCTTGGGGTTGCATCCCTGACTATCCTGGCTAATAGCCATTCCTCCATGAATTTCTCATATCCCTTTCCCTCTCCCCCTTTTTTAACCCAGTTACATTTTTGGCCCTCAAACATCCTCAGGCAACAAGTTCCATAGGTTGACTGTATATTTCTGTGAAGTGTTTCCTTATGTATTTTTTAAATGCGTTGTTTGTTAATTCTATAATATCTTCTTTTAAGATCATACCATTATTCCCAGAAACTGAATCCTACCTCCTCGGCAGTGTGACGTGGATGTACTTGCAAGGAATACCCCATCCACAGATTTCCTAGCTTGATAGCTATTCAATTCAAGATTTTCCTGAAAATGGAATGTCCCAATAATATTTTGTATGTTGTCCCAAATTACTCATCACTTGTCTGCAAACCCAGCACACTGGCCAAAAGAACCAAATTCCCTGTCCTCGTTTGTTTTCAGACAGTTCCCATGTCATGTTTCCAGTCCACCTCTCTTTGCTGTACTAAGCTGACGAGTTTGATTGGAAGGGAGGGGCAGAAAGAGCTTGCTAGTTTGTACTCTTGACAGCATCATTTTATTTCTGATTTACAGCCAGTAGTGATGATATGACTCTCACAAGCCCTAGTATGGATAATTCCAGTGCTGAGCTGATACCTGGTGGTGACTCCCCATTGAATAAACGTATGACTGAGAACCTGCTAGCAAGTTTGTCTGAACATGAGCGGGAAGCTATTCTCAATGTTCCTGCTGCACAGAATCCAGAGGATCTCCGCATGTTTGCAAGGTAGAGAGAACGTAACCTCCTTTTCTCATCCCCCTTTTCAATTAATTTCTGCATTAGTACCGGGAAGGAAGTTCACCTTGGAAGATTAAATTTTTGGCTTATTCCTGTGGGACCTTTTCATCAGTGGTTTTTGGTATTTAACACTAGCTAATGGCCAGGTTTTTAATTAGTTCCCCAAGAATGTTTTGTTAATAAATTCTGGATCTAAGGAAAGACTTCGAGACCTTCTGATGGACATTGTAGTCTAAAGTCTCACTGCCTACCAATTGTCTTGTTGTCTGGTAGTGAGAGTGTCTCGCTCTTGAGGGCACAAAATGGAAGTTGCATAGCCTGAAAACAAGTGCAAGAGAGCCTTAAAGCAGAGGCCCCAGTGTGTGCATATGCGTGGTGTAGTTAAAGGCCTGTTAACATTCCCTGAGATCTGTAAGAAAGCATTACAGGCAGTCCCCGGGTTACGTACAAGATAGGGACTGTAGGTTTGTTCTTAAGTTGAATCTGTATGTAAGTCGGAATTGGCGTCCAGATTCAGCCGCTGCTGAAACTGACCGCCAGTTCTGACTTACATACAGATTCAACTTAAGAACAAACCTACAGTCCCTATCTTGTACGTAACCCGGGGACTGCCTGTAATGCTTTCTTACAGATCTCAGGGAATGTTAACAGGCCTTTAACTACACCACGCATATGCACACACTGGGGCCTCTGCTTTAAGGCTCTCTTGCACTTGTTTTCAGGCTATGCAACTTCCATTTTGTGCCCTCAAGAGCGAGACACTCACTACCAGACAACAAGACAATTGGTAGGCAGTGAGACTTTAGACTACAATGTCCATCAGAAGGTCTCGAAGTCTTTCCTTAGATCCAGAATTTATTAACAAAACATTCTTGGGGAACTAATTAAAAACCTGGCCATTAGCTAGTGTTAAATACCAAAAACCACTGATGAAAAGGTCCCACAGGAATAAGCCAAAAATTTAATCTTCCAAGGTGAACTTCCTTCCCGGTACTAATGCAGAAATTAATTGAAAAGGGGGATGAGAAAAGGAGGTTACGTTCTCTCTACCTTGCAAACATGCGGAGATCCTCTGGATTCTGTGCAGCAGGAACATTGAGAATAGCTTCCCGCTCATGTTCAGACAAACTTGCTAGCAGGTTCTCAGTCATACGTTTATTCAATGGGGAGTCACCACCAGGTATCAGCTCAGCACTGGAATTATCCATACTAGGGCTTGTGAGAGTCATATCATCACTACTGGCTGTAAATCAGAAATAAAATGATGCTGTGAAGAGTACAAACTAGCAAGCTCTTTCTGCCCCTCCCTTCCAATCAAACTCGTCAGCTTAGTACAGCAAAGAGAGGTGGACTGGAAACATGACATGGGAACGCATTGCAAATACAGAGGCATCACAGGAATTTAGGGTTTTCTGGGATTCATACTTGCGGAAGTGTTACAGCTCATCTCCTGCATTCCAGATCACCCAGATATTCCCTGACTAGATCGCCCCTGGCATATGTGGCTAGGACTGCAGCACTCAGACGGCTGTGGGAATAAAATAGTTGCCTTGTATGTTGCAGAGTTCCTTGCAACTGGACCAGTTGAGACCATGGATGTTTTGTAGATAATTCCGAAAGCCTGCAGATGTAGTGACTGTCCTGCACTAAAACATGCCTCTGCTGCTCCCTTTGTGTAACTTGGAGATGGCAGTATTCCACTGATTCAGAAGATGTGGAGTCTGAGATGTTGGCTCAGATGGAGATGAATTGGTCATTGGAGAACTTTGTCCTTATCAATGGCTAGGTGTCTGCAAGTCCTTAAAAAAAAATCTACAGCATCTTCTGATAAAATACTTGAAAATTCTGTGAAATTGGGTCTGAACTATTATTGTTCTGCTCCCATTACATAAAGCTTCTTATGACCATCATTCTTATAATGACACCCTTATCTTTCAGTTTGGCCTCTAGAAT